TTTACCTCCGACATACCACAAACGCAAAATGTGAAAGTAGTCACATTTGCCGATGACATGGCCCAACTGGCCATCGGTAGAACCATAGAAGAATCGACTAGAAAACTTTAACATGCAACTAATAAAATATACGAGTGGACAAAAAGATGGCGCATTAAGCTCAACGAAACTAAAACAGTTTAGGTTAACTTCACTAATAAAAGGCCAGTAGAATACCTACCAGTGACATTAAATAATACTAGAATAACATATTCTAATTCAACGGAATACTTAGGAATGAACCTAGATATTAAATTAAAGTTAAAAGAACACATAAAGAAAAAACGGGAAGAGTTGGGTATTAAATATAGAATATTATACTGGTTGATGAATAGAAAATCAAAACTTTTAGTATATAAACAAGTACTGAAGCCAGTATGGACTTACGGCATACAGCTCTGGAGGTGGGCCAGTAAAACTAACATAAATTTAATACAATGTTTCCAGGACAAAATATTAAAGGCAATAATAAACGCCCTATTATGTATATTTCGTACTATTTTATATTGGTTACCTTCATCGCTATATCGATTCCATTTTTCATTTCCCTTGTAAAATCTTGCTTGAACCTTATCATCAATTTCAAACTCTTTTAGACAGAGATTTTGAGAAGCATTTTTGTCTTCAGTATGGATATTACGTTTAACACATTTAGCCCCACGTTATAATTGGTTAGATACATCTCTGAGACCAAATATTTCAAATGCGTTTTTTTGTATAAATATATTTTTTAAATATTTATTATCGTGTTTTAATGCATATTTATTCTTTTTTAGATTTTTTTTATTTTTTTGTTTTAGTGCCCACCGGTGGTCACGTGGTCATACGTGTAATTTTACATTCTGGGAGCGCATTTTACACCCGTGGACACGCATTTTACACCCGTGGACACGCATTTTATTATATCTTTTGTTTCAGAATTTAAATAATAATGGCACGAAGACGACTTACAGAAGAAGAATTGGCTTTAGAGTTGGACATGTCTGATGATGAAGCAACAGGCTTTTCCGACGACTCCATTGCAGATCAGGATTACTCCTATGAAGGAAGCTCCGGTTCAAGTGAGAATGAATTTTCTGAAGATGATGTTGACAGTGAAGGTGATGTCCAGGAAGAAGCTGGTGAAATTTTTCCTCTTGCTGATGTTATACCCGAGAGGAATTGGGAGCTTGTGGTAGGGGACAGATTGAACTTTGCTTTTTCTGCTGACTACACAGGCGTTCATGCAGATATAATTCACAAACTTAGTGGAGCATCTCCTATATCTTTTTTTGAGCATTTTATAGATGATGAAATCATCTCATTGTTTGTCGATGAAACCAATAGATATGCTGCGCAAAAAATTGCTGCGAGTAATACTCCAAGGCTCCATAAATGGGTTGACACTGATCCCATAGAGATGCGCAAGTTCCTTGGTATCATCATATGGATGGGACTCATGCATTTGTCAAAATTAAGGGACTACTGGAGCAGAAAAGGAATTTATGAAAACGGTATTCGAAAAATCATGAGCCGCAATAGATTTGAGATAGTACTGACAATGTTTCATTTATCAGACAATGAACAACCGGTAAATCAACATATAATTTCCAAATTTTTGAACATATTGGAAAAAAAAATCAAGGAATCTTATATTCCAGAAGAAGAAGTCTGTATTGACGAAAGCAATGTACCCTTTTGAGGACGTATATATTTTCGGCAGTATATTTCCAACAAAAGACATAAATATGGCATCAAGGTTTTCAAACTCTGTGTTGCTGGAGGATATACCTGGCCATTCAAAGTATACACAGGTAGAGAAAGAGCCGAAGATGTTTGTGTTGCCCAAAAAATTGTAATAACACTGATGGAGTATACTGATAACTGGTATACTAGTGTTTCGCTTGCTGAAAATCTAACCCAGCGTCAAACACATTTAGTAGGAACTCTAAGAGCAAATAGGAAATATAATCCCCCAGATGTGGTGGAAGCAAAATTGAGAAAAGGTGATATCTTAGCCCAACAAAATGAAAATAAAACCGTAGTCTGCAAGTGGAAAGACAAAAGGGACGTACTAATGCTCAGTACCAAACATGATGACTCGATGGTTACAGTAAATCGAAGGGGACAAGAAATTAATAAACCTGCAATGGTGGTTGAATACAATAAAGGAAAGGCTTTTGTCGACCTGTCTGACCAAATGGCATCATATGTACCATACGTAAGAAGAACCGTCAAGTGGTATATGAGACTAGTTTTTCATCTTATTACATCGACAGCTATGGTAAATGCTCTACATCTATATAATAAAATTAACAACAAGAAAATGGGCATTACAGAGTTCAAGGAAGAGGTAGTCGATGCTCTGCTTCACCTAGAAAGTCCAAGACTGTCAAGGGCTTCCACTTCCAGACAAAGACACTTCCTAAAGGAATATGAGGGACAGAAAAGGGTTACAAGAAAAAGGTGTAATCCATGCTATAAAACTATGTCCCAACGACAAAATCCAGTGTATGCGCGTAAAAATGCAAAAAAAATAAATACATATTGTGATACTTGCGATAGTCCAATGTGCCTGGAATGCTTTCAGAAGCATTTAGTATAAGCTTAATTTTTATTACTTCATTTTATTTCATATGTATTGCTTAGGTTAGGATATTACTTGTTTTGTAACAAAGAATAAAAAGAATTAATTTGTTAGAATATAGTTTCATTTACTCATTTATAATATGTAAAAATACCAAAATATAATTTTTTAGAGCCCGGTCCAAGTAGTTTTGTTGTCTCCTGGGCCCACTAAATACGTCAGCATATCTAAAACTAATATTAAACGTGCTCACCGGTGTCCACGGTGACTTGAATTAAACAACATCAAATGCTCACGGGTGGGCACGCGGTCCAAACAGAAGAACTTAAAATGTCCACCGGTGGGCATATGGGGGGGGCTAAATGTGTTAACTAAATCGATTCTTGTCTTAAATGTTCTGTTAAACATTAGTTCACCAGGACAAAAACCAGTGGTAGCATACGGTAATTTTCGGTGTTGCATTAATAATCTTGCTAACTTAACATCAAGATCTCCAGGCTCATCCATTACAGCTCGCAAATTCCTTTTCAAAATCTGCATATATCGTTCAGCTTGGCCATTTGATGCTGGATGATATGGCGCAATTGTTTTGAAGTTGATTCCATTAGATTTGAAGAACTGTCTTATTTCAAAGAATGTAAACTGTTGAGCATTGTTAGATACAACAGTGACTGGTAATCCAAATCGTCCAAATAGTTCTCTTAAAATATTGATTGTAGCCCTACTTGTTATGGCATGTGTAGGTATAGCTTCAAACCATTTAGTATAGGCATCAACAACAATTAAAAAATTTGTACCCATAAACGGACCAGTATAATCGATATGTAATCGAAACCAGGCTTCGCTCGGATATTCCCAATGACGTGTTGGAACTTTTTTGGATTGTTCTGCACTGAACAACAATTTTGGCAAGATTTCGTAATCTCTTCAATATCTTTGTCGATTCCCCTCGACCATACATAACTTCTGGCGATAGCTTTTATTTTTACAATGCCTGTATGTGCTTCTTGGAGTTTCTTCAAGTATTCGTTTTCGTAAACTTTTTGGTATTACAACTTGTAATCCGTCTTCTAGGGAATATTCATTTAAAGAATTTTGGATACATTTACCAGATTTCATTGAATTGTAAAGTTCTTGACATTCTGGATCAGCTATTGTTTCTACTTGAATTTCATCTCCATTAACTGGACGAACATTAATTTGATTTAAAAATAATGCGCCATCTACATCTACTTCTTCAGACACAAACCGATTTTGTAACGGACATCTTGATAGGTAGTCAGCATTTCCATATTCGTTTGTAGATCTTGTTCTAACATTTTATTTAAAACCTGACAGATAATTTGCATAATGAACTAATTGTAGTGCAGGAGTAAGCCGTAAATTCTTTTCTGGATGGAAAATTCTTGATAGTGGTTTATTTTCCAGTATTAACGTAATTTCTCTTCCATAGCAGTACAGAAAAAAATTTCGTAATCCCCATATAACAGCATTCGCCTCCTTATCGAGTTGACTATAGTTATTTTCTACCTTTGTCAAAGATCTAGATGCAAACGCTACTGGCCTTTCAGATCCTTTTTCCATAATATTTGATAATACGGCTCCTAAACCAGTTGGTAACGCGTTAGTGGCTAATGTAACTGGTAAGTTGATGTTAAATGGATCTAAGACTTTTTTTAGTTCTTGAAAAACATTTTCGCATTCTTTGCTCCAGTTAAATTTTTCGTCTTTTTGTAAAGGATGGAGTTTCGAAGCCAAATTTGGTATAAATTGATGGTAATAGTTGACAAGACCAAGGAAGGTTCTTAATTCGCTAACATTTGCCGGTTTAGAACTTTGTAATATTGCATCAATTTTTTATTTCATTGGATGTAGTCCATTTTTGTCTATTGTATGACCCAAATAAGATATGGATGTTTTGAAAAACTGTTTATCCTTATTTAAATGAAGCCCACTACTACGTGAACAGATAAAAACGCTACGTAACCTTTGAAATAATACAGATGATGTTCTTCCTTAAATTATATCGTCAAAAAAACAGCCAACTCCTTGTAGAACATGTAGAGTATGATCCATAAAGCGCTGCCATGCATTTGGAGTAACTTTAACGACAAACATTAATTGTTTAACTCTATATGTTCCTTTAGATGTACTGATTTGCTTGTATCATACTACTTTGGTGGGAGAATGTCAAGTAAGCATCCAATACGAAAACCAACATGCTAGCGGAAGATTATTTGTAATACCTGATTCTGTTACACCAATTTTCGGGAGAGAATGGGTTTGATTATTTAAACTAAACTGAGGTGAGATTTGCAAAATGGACGTACCTGAAGAAAATTACACAGATGAACTTTCCAAAGTGCTACATGAATATGATGATTGATTTTTCCAGGAAGTCGAGTTAATCAAAACCCATTCAACCACAGGTATATTACATGAACTTGCACTAGTAGAATACTTTGAACATGATGGTTCGGAATAATTAGTTGAGCGTAATGAGAAGATAATGGAAATTCAATTATTGAACAGTGTGTCATGAGGATTCTCAAGCTCCAATAAATTCATCTATGGAAAAAACGATAATCATAATTCTACAAAGTCCCTTATCAGTAATTCCAATTGTCATGGATTTATTGATGATCCTTCAACAAGCCACAAAAATGTTAATGTTGATATTTCGTACTATTTTATATTGTTTACTTTCATCGCTATATCGATGTCATTTTTGATTAATAATTAATTGTCAGTTAGTTTTCGGAATTTATTTCTCGTTCTTCGAACTACAAGAATATAACACGCCCTTTGGTATGTTTGAAACTCAGACCTACACAGAGATCTGAGAATGCCTACAGTCGAAGAAGAGAGGAAAACCATCGCAAAAAAAACATGAAGGAAGACCACGATCATGTTAACATTGAAGTTCTACAGTTCCTGGACAACCGATACCTAATGAGAAGGCTCAGAAGAACCAAACCATTTGAATTAGTGATGTGTGTTAGAACAAAGCACAGTGCGCGTATGCAGTGTATAGTTATCAGAGCAGAAAGGAGAAGATACCATTGGGTGAGCTTTTAGTTTTAAGCCTCTTAAGTTTACTTAAGTTTATAATAAAGACAAATTGCTGGTTGGCTGAAATATAGCTAAGTGTAATGCAAACTAACCAAACAAACTTTCTATGTGTTGCTGCGAAGGTAAATCAAGACTGAGATTCTTTACATCTGGAGAAGAAAAACCAAGGGCAACTAGCTACCCGGAGAACTACTTCCTAGTCTATGAAGTTTATTACAAAAGACCCAACTAGACAAGATACTTCTCAAGATTACTTTAAACAACGACTAAAGGATATCCACAATAGATCTGATTAATTATTCTAATCTAATGTGACTGTCCTACCGATTCACTAGCCAAGAAGGCAGTCAACCAAATACTTTTTGGACCTGGCCCTACTATTGGGCTAACGACATCGGTAGTGACAAATTTAAATAAAGAAAATTCCCTTGTAAAATTCAAGGCCAAAAAGGATGAAACAAGAAACTGCAGAGTTACCAGGAAGCTTTTAAGTTATCTTGACCATACTACAACAAACAAATACTTGCTTATGACAAGACAGAATTTGCGCCTGATTACAAGCATTCTAACTGGTCATTGCCAAGTACAGAAGCATCTATCTTCATGGAATTGGGCTATCAGAATCTGCACTCTGCATGGTGCGAACGAGAAAATCAGTGTTATTAAGTATATCCTTTACGATTTCTTGAGGTTCTGTTCTATTAGTATTGCCTTACACCAGCCGATATAAGTGAGGCACCGAGTGAGGTAATAGGTAGACTAGCTGACGAGCAAAGAGGGGCCTATCAATTTAAAAGGCTGCCCAATGGCCAAGTGAGGTCTAAGTACCGTGAAGAAACGTACCCTCCATCCGTTACAGAAATAGATAAAGATCTTCTGGTAATGTAAATTTGTATTGTTGATAGTCTTCGTCCTTTAGTTTGGAATCAATTTTTTTCTCTTATACTGTTATTTATATATTTATATCAAAGAATGTTATAGATACTACAGTTTTTTCGTTATCTTTGTTTGCTTCTACTACATTGCCGCTTTGTACAATAGTTATATAATATACCTGGTGTTCTAAATTAAAGCATTACAGCTATATACCGCTTTTTATAAAAAAAAAACGTTTCAGACGAAAGTTTTACAGTTTTGTAGGGATAAACTTTTGGCTAAAATCGTTTTTTATAGCTAACCATAATATGGCCAACTTTTTTTTCGCGCAGCAACATTTTCAAGTAGCTGTTACTCAAAAAGTAAAAGTCCAATAAAAAAAATATTTCGATTAAAAGTTTCTTATTTTTTTATTTACTTTAAGAATATGTAAAAAAAAAAATGGGATTCCCATTTAAAAAAAAAAACAAAGTTCACCTGGATATGGCCATATTATGGTCAGCTTTAAAAAAATGAATTTAGCCAAAATGTTTCCCCCAAAAAACTTTTTTTTCTAAAATGCATATTTTCGGCGGTATTTAACTGTAACACTTTAATTTGAACGCCCGGTACAGGGTGTTTATTAAGTACTTGTACAAACTTTAAATAGTGAATCTTTGACTAATTTTAAGGCAAAAAGTTCATATGAACACGTGTCCTAAACCTCTTAACTTTTGTGCTACAGGATGGTAAAGTTTTCAGAAAAAAATCTATTTTTTCCAATAACTGTGAGAATAATGTAGATATTTTTACGAAATTTGGTACACGTATACTATGCATTAAGATTCATTTTTTGATATACAATTTTATGTTTTTTACCAGTGGCGTCCATACCTACGGGGTTTGTATTGAATATTTTTGCAGAAAAAAATAGTATGCCACTGCTTCATCTTAAAACAAAAATTATTTTTGAAATCCTCATTTATTTTTAAACAAATTTAATCTCCTGAGTTTTTTCGTTTGATGCATAGTTTACGCTTTAAAAAATAAAATCCGTTTTATTTCAGAGTCAAATTGCTAAAATGTACAATTGTACATACATGCATAGCAAGCTTTGCAAACAACCGAGAGGTTTCCATGGTAGCGGAATCAGTCATGACAGTTTATTTAAAAAAAAGATCATGGTTTTGTCATTTAAAAATGTAATGCACAAGCTACAAAAAGAATGTATCAAGCCCAATTTCCTCAACGGATGGTTCAACATGTCGAAACTTTCATTAATATTCACGCAAGACTTTGTGAAACTGACAGCTTTAAAAGAACAATTGATATCCCAGGAAGGCCTGCGACAGTTCGAACAGTTGAAATTGAAGAAGCTGTGTTAAATAGAATTGAAGAAGACCCGCAAACTAGTACAAGGAAAATTGCTCATGAATTGAATATTACGCATACAATTGTGTGGCAAATTTTAAAATCTCAACAACTTTATCCTTATCATATTCAACGTGTACAGGCATTACTACCTAGAGATTTTCCTCTCAGAGTAGATTTCTGCGTTTGGCTGCGAAATTAATTATTAACAACCCCGGATTTCTTAGGCCATGTACTTGTTACAGACGAAGCTTCTTTTTCTCGAAACGCCATCATGAACTTCCATAACAACCATATCTGGTCTGAAGATAATCCCAATTCTATCATATAAAATAATTTCCAAGATCGTTTTTCTCTAAATATTTGGGTCGGAATTATCGGGGATCACCTTATTGGACCTTGCATTCTTCCACAAAGGCTAAATGGCGAAGAGTGCAGAAGATTTTTGGAGCACGAGCTTCCTGAACATTTGGAAGAAATTGATTTGGCTACCAGAAACAGGATGTGGTTCATGCACGATGGCGCACCGGCCCACTTTTGTTTGGCTGCACGTCAATTTCTGAACGAGAATTATCCTAATCGTTGGATAGGAAGAGCGGGACCGCAAGCCTGGCCTCCCAGATCACCAGATTTAAATCCTCTGTAGGGTCACTTAAAGACACTAGTTTACAAAACATCCGTTCAAAATGAGCAAGATCTAAGAAACAGGATATTTGAATCGTGTGCCATTATTAATCAGACACCAGATATATTCGAAAGAATACGTAAATCAATGTTAAGGCGAATTGACGCATGCGTTGCAGTAGGCGGCGGGCATTTTCAGCAATTGTTGTAAATATTATTAACTTATTTGTAAAAGTAGTTTAGTCTTAGTCTGTAAATAATCTAAGTTTATCACATAACAATATTGATCAATAAAAGACACATTTTTCTCTTGTTCCATGCAGAATACTATGCGTCGGACGAAAACTATGCGTCGGAGAAAAAAACTCATCAGACCAAATTTACTCAAAACTAAATGAGGATTGCAAAAATATTTGTTATTTTAAGATGAAGCAGTGGCGTACTCTTTTTTTCGGCAAAAATATTTAATACGAAACCCGTACGGGCGCCACTGGTGAAAATAATAAAATTATTTGTACATTAAAAAATGCATCATAATACGTAGGAGACGTGTACCAAATTTCGTAAAAATACCTGCAATATTCTTACAGTTATTAGAAAAAAAAAATGTTTTTTCTGTTAGGACATGTGTTCATTTGAACGTTTTGCCTTAAAATAAGTCAAAGATTCACCATTTAAAGTTTGTACAAGTACTTAATAAACACCCTGTATATTTAATCAAATTTTTGATTTTTTTTCTTTATTTACAAACCACTATTTAACCATTCAGATTGACTTATTTTTATCAAAATAAATATTTGTTGATAAATCGATAACAAGAACATGATTAACTTTCGATTAGTTTGTAAAAATTATTCAGCAATATTGTTACTAATTCACTATCTACGAATAGATAAACATGAAAAGATTCCAGAAAACGCAATTCATTTAGATAACAAAGAAACGAAGTACAAAGTAAGGCATATTATTTCAATGTGGGAAATTTAATGATTCCTTACCTCTACTGTATTAATTTTTGGAAGTGAATACGTTTTCGATAGGTTTAAAATTTGAATGGTACCTAACAAGGGTAAAAAGATGAATGTTACAAAAAGTATTTCATAAGAAAAACGATTTTAAAAATTTGTAGACGTACATCTTACATCTAAAAAGAATAAAAATTCAAATATTTTTTAAAATATATCCCTTCGACGTTATATCCCTTCATGTAGGCTTTTGAGGAAGAACAGTTTTTAACTGATCATAAGTCCTTTTGACCGTTTGTATGTTTTATTTACTTTGTAAAGTTGTTTGTAAATGGTTAATATGAGGTCAATAAAATTTATTATTATTATTATTATTATTATTATATATCCTCTAGAACATAGATTAATAATTTTTAAACTATTTGTAACTCTTCAATTATATCAGTGTTTCCGAAATAATATCGGTTTGTCATTTAAAATGCTATGGTTGTCAAGAAAAAAGTGCTGAAGATACGACTATGATGTAGTATATCAAATGAATGTATTGTATACGTATATCCCACTACATAAGAAGTGTAATAATATTTCGAAGGTAACA